TAATAGGGGGTGAGCCTATTGCCATATACCGGGCACATTTTTCCAGACTCCGTGCTACTACTGAGATTTTTAAAAAACCCAGTAATACTTTGCCCGACCCGGGAATTGAACCCGAGACCCCTTGCCCGGCAGTCGCACTTGCGACCACTCGGCCAATGAGGCAATGCTACTGATGGATATTTATTTATTTTATAAACACATGCATAATTTTACAGCCCAAACCAAAAACATTAAACTTTACAGCCCAAGCCACAACATTAAACAGTTAAAAAAAATATCGCACCTTTAAATTAGATCCGTTATTAAATGAACATTTTTGTAAATTTTTTTATTGTCGACTATCTATATATCTATATCTACAGATACGATAAATCAAATTGGAATGTCTGTTTGTAATATTGAAATAACCGCTTTTTACTACTTGCATATGAATATACATACGATACCTAAGTATACCAAAATAACATGTTTTCTAATTTTAGTCTGTCTGTCTACTTTTAGTTTTGGAAAGGTGAAACAAAAAAGAATGTCCTAACTATCTCATATTCTACAAGGACGAAAATGCGGGCAACAGCCAGTTTTAAATAATATTTCAAATAGTTTATGAACATTTTCGTTTAATTACAGTGTTTTACTTTAAAGGTGCGATGTGCACCATAGGCTTTTTTTTGTGGCTCTAAATTCTTGTTGTGTGTCATTGCAAAATAAATGTTTTTTCTTTCTTTCTATAAGTTTGTATGAAAACCCCTGCATAGTGTAGGTATAATTGTAAAGACTAGACAACTTACCTTAATTACTTTTGCCGGTAGTCACGTCTCCCAACCAACACAGTACAACAAATTCTTTTGAAAAACTGACACCTAGAACTCGATTCCCCACACCTAATCCTCGTAACTAGTTTGACAGCCAACCATTGGCAGTTTCAATTTTCCATTCCGCACTTTCCAACGCGAGAATGGAAAAAGAAGAGCCATTAATCTGGAAATTCTGGAAAGGAAACATTGAATCCTCCGTTGCTGGATTACTGGTCTGATCTTCGGGACAAAGTAATGAGAAAAAGTGAAGATCTTTCTCCGTACTGCCGTGGAAGTCGGCAAAAACATTATCTTAATATGAATGTGCAGTACAATCCTCCGGACTAATACATTCCATAGCATTAAGGTTGTTGTTTCCTCAAAAGAGCCCATTAAATAAGATCTTATATTTTTAAGCAGTTTTTTTACTGTTACCTACACACATAATTTAGCTACTTACATATTATTATTAATTAACGTCTAGAAATTAGGTTCATGAACATCATCATTATCAACAGCCTATAAGTGGTCATTGCTGACTTAAGACCTCTTCTCGCACAGACAAGCTTTGAGCGTTAATCACCACACTTGGGTTGGGGATTTCAAACTTACATTTACATACAACTATTGTAAGCCCAGGTTTCCTCACGATGTTTTCATTCACCATGTCACTAGTGTCTCATATAACTCGATTACCGCCCAATTACACCCCTGCCCTCCTCCCCAATATCTTCAATCCCTGAATACCTAACAATCTTAAAATTCCTAATCCCCAAAAGTCGGTAACGCACTTGTAACGCCTCTGGTGTTCCATTTGTCCATAGGTGATGCCGATTGCTTACGACCTGGGGGCTTACTCTTGAATCCAATTCCAATCAATCGACATTGACATTGTAACATTTCGTACTCTTGAGTTGCAACACTAGCGCCCATTGCATCCGTATTGCGTGAATATTGAATGAACTAAATGATATTGAGTTCGGCTTTATATTCCGTACTCTGAATGCTATTTTAATAGCTACGATAGGGGGTTGTATAGTTTTGACATTGAATAATTATTGGGACTTTATTGGATTGTAATTATATTGAGTTTGTGATTGGTTTCAAGAGTAAGCACCCAGGTGATCCGTTTGTTCGTTTACCGGCTTATTCCACAAAAAAAACAACTTAACTTAGTGCGAAGAATATCCTCAAACCTCAGGATAAACAAGGTTTCCTTCCGAACTACTCATTATAACACAATTTTCCTTCAAGTGAAAATTTCATTCTTATTGCTATACAGGTAAAGTTAATTATTGTTAGTTTTTTCACAAAGTCAAAGGCCAACAATAGCAAGATGTTGTTTGTCATTAAGGAAATAAAACGCAATTGTGTAAGTAAGTCTTTGTTCTATATGCATGTTCTAGATTTTCTTGCATTCATTAATGAGGTTGTATAGCATAGCTTCTTCTTCACGCCTTTACCCCCGAAGGGATAGGCAGAGGTGCAAATTACGGCACTTAATGCCACTGTACAATGTAAGTCCTACTTTATATTAGTTATGATTATCTTGTAATAGGGGGTGAGTCTATTGCCATGTACCGGACACATTTCCAAACTCCGTGCTACTACTGAGATTTTTTTTTAAAAGCCAGTAATATTTTGCCCGACCCGTGAATCGGACTTCACCGCGACACTTTGGCGGCGCAACCGGTCGCCGCTACTAACAAATTGTAACATAACATCACGCCCTTTTTATCCCCGAAGAGGTAGGCAGAGGTGCACATTTCGGCACTTAATGCCACTGTACAATGTAACACCCACTTTTCACTATTTATGTTATGAGTCCCATGTAATAGGGGGTGAGCCTATTGCCATATATACCGGGCACATTTTTCCTTATATGTTATAATATAAGTAAGTAAGGATTATTACAGCAAAAGCAAGACCATGAATACATCGACATATTTATAATAATTCCATACAAAAACCGTTGCTATTAGCTTATAATGTTAGTCATCTTTCTTATTGATAGACAATCTATTGATCAAAGAACAAAAGACAGTTCAAAAACACACAAATTACAACTTACGACATCATCAATTGGATATACAAATTAGAATCTTATCGCTCTCTTTATAAATCATAAAGTCTACTAATTCATTGATTATCTATTAAGTACATGTTTGTTTGTGTAAATGAACTGTATAAATATTTGAAAAAATGTTGTATGTAGTTGCCTATGTGAGATGATTTTGCAAAGATGTTAATACGTAATTATAGTTATGTGATTTACTTTGTAATATGACATAATAGACATAATTTAAGTATGGGAGAGCCATATTTCGGCACGATAGCCATCAACACGGATGGTACCCATGATATATATGTGTAAATGATAAATAAATAAAATACAGTTTAATGACATCACGTATAATTATCTTAAGATACAGATTAACGTTTACTTTATTCTTTCTTAACTTTATACAAAAACCCCAGATTAATTTAGTTTTTCAGCTAAATTAATGTAAGTATAAATCCAATATACAATTATTATTTCGCATGGAATATTTCATAATTTAATTAATACAATTCCCATGTTTGAAGATTAAACTTTTTATATTAAGTATAATAATAAAACCGGCGTAAAATTACGCCGATTTTATCCCACAGTGGTCGGAAATTTGTATCCATATACAACTTTATGCACAAAAACTGTGCTATTGTACTTAAGTCGAGAATGGAAATGTAAATGAAATGCTAAAAACATTAAATTCACATAACATACATAACATCACGCCTTTTATCCCCGAATGGGTAGGTAGTATGTGCACACATTACGTCACTGAATTCCACTATAGAGGTACAATGTAACACCCACTTTTCACTATTTATGTTATGAGTAGTATCACGGAAATCTCAATAGTAGCACGGAGTCTGGAATATGGCAATAGGCTCACCCCCTATTACATGGGACTTATAACATAAATAGTAAAAAGTGGGTGTTGCATTGTACAGTGGCATTAAGTGCCGTAATGTGCATCTCTGCCTACCCCTTCGGGGATAAAAGGCGTATTGTTATATTATGTTAGTAGTCCCATGTAGTTCCATGGGTGAGCCATTAAGTTAAATAGTAGGTAATGTTTTTATACATAGAAGGTTGTTACGCACTAGGATTTTCACCTGTGTCGTGGGTGAGTTTACAAACATACAAGTTCACTTACACATGTCACCCAGACCCGAAATAATAATTATTGGATCACAAAGAGTTGTTCTGAATTTATTTATAAGTTTGACGTAATTATTATAAAACAATTATTAATAATACATTATTAATCTGAATTATTAAACAAATTTATGCTACAATATGGTTGAGTTGGGCGGTGCTGGTGTACTTGTCATGTTCATGAACGGGCGCCGTCAACTGGGACTGGTCAGCTCCAGACTGTATATTTTACTGTCCTTTAAGGTTATTTTATTTCGATCTTTTTGACTGTATTTTAGTGTTACATTGTTGTCGCATAATCCAAACAACAAAACTATGTAACTAGGTAGAGATTGTATTGTGAAAGTGATTAAAAAAGAGTAACCTATGGAGTTTCTTGCTCGGTCTTTTCCATTGGAATCTACACCTTGAAATGGGCAAATAGTTTCTCTTTTTATTTTTTCTGTTGACGTTCAAAAGTGCCTTCCTCATCATCATCATCAACAGCCGGAATACGTCCACTGCTGGAAAAGGCCTCCTCCTTAGTCCTCCATGTCGAACGTTGAGGAGGGCTGCCCACGCTTCGTCTTCCGGTCTATGGTCTCCACTCAAGGACTTTCCTGGCCCATCTGCTATCAGTTCTTCGAGCGATGTGGCCTGCCCATTGCCAATTCAGTTAACTCTTGTTCTTTGGCAAATTTCCATATTTCAGATTTTGAAGTGCCTTCCTGGTCTAATTGAAATAAATGATTTTGACTTGGACTTTTACTTTGACTATTAAAATAAATTATATAAATGTAAATTGGTAAATACTAAAGCTAATTAAATTATACTTATAGAGAAGTCAAATTTAGTGTGTCTAATAATAGATTTGTGGCAGAAACTTCTCGGTTTCTACACAGAGCGGTCAATATAATAAAACAGTCGAGGCCTTTAATGTACAGACATTGTCGGATTGTGTCGCGAGGACAAAGTGTCAGTGTGCGTTTGTGACTGTTATATTACTATTACACCAGTGCAAAATGACTATCGGAGACGAGAATGTGGTATGTGTTTACATTATACCTACTATTATTTAAACGTTAATATATATATTTATAATTTCAATAGTAGTTTAATTTGAATAAAATAAAAAGGGAATAAACTATTGCGATCTTATAATATTATTTTTTATTTTGTTTCATTATAAAAATAATTATAAATATTTAGTTTTGTGGTGGGGTTCAAATATTTAAATACAGTCAAATTTTATTTTTGTTATTATTTCACATAATAATGAATATTTAACATTACTATAGCAAAGAAAACAATGTATGCATATAAATATGTTTTTTTTTTATTTTTGAAGTGAATACTAAACTTATTTAAAACTAAAATAAGGATAATGAAGGACAACGCTGAGTTCGTGTCTTCGTCAATTTATATTATATTATAAATATATATATGAAGTTATTTATGTACATATTTTTTACTTATTATATATTTTTATACATTATGTTATACAGTATTTATTATTGCTATTAGTTATTTATTTTGTTTTTTTTTTTGTATAATTATTACACAAGCCCATTTTCGCTGAGCTTACTTTTAACCCAAAGGTTGACTGGGAGAAAATGCCATATGGCATTAAGTCCGCCTTATGTACCTTATTGTGTGCATTAAAGTGTAAATAAATAAATAAATAAATAATGCAATTATTAAATTAATTTACTAATATCTAAAATTTAAATAAGAAACATACTCACATTGATATTATCATTAAATTACATAACTATTACTCCAGTTATAATCATGAAATAATTATTATTAATTCACAGTACGAAAACTTCGACTATTCTCTGAATGCACAAAAACTGATGAACATCAGAGACTCTGACTTGGAAAATTTGTTGAAATCATACAATATTAATCAAAAAACATTGGATGAAATGGTCGCAAGTATTCACGAATGGTATGAAAAGCAGCCACATTTACCACAAGGACAAATACGTGAGTACTTTTATTAATAACTAGCTAATTAACTACTAATACTAATTGTTTAAGTGTGGTAGAGCCATGCTTCGGCACGAATGGGCCGGCTCGACCGGAGTGATACCATGGCCTCACAGAAAACCGAAGTGAAACAACGCTTGCGTTGTATTTCGTCGTGCAAGTGAGGTTACCGTAGGCCCAATAACCCCCCTCCCCCTCCAATCCCTGAATCCCCAAAAATCTTGAAATTCCTAATACCAAAAGGTTGTTAATGCACTTGTAACGCCTCTGGTGTTTCGGGTGTCCATGGGCGGCGCCGATTGCTTACCATCAGGTGATCCGTCTACTCGTTTACCAGTTTATTCCATAAAACAAATAGTAATAATAATCCGTTGTTCAATGTTTTGGGGCCTGTAGCCTTCCTCGAAAATGGTTTATCGAATACAAGAAAAAATTTCCAAAGTAGTAGTTAGGTTGATCGGAGAATGATGTACTCAATCGAAGGAATAAACAATCAAACTTTCAGCTTTGTTATCTTTATATATAATGGCTAGACCGATTTGTCTGTTTTTTTTGTGTTTATTATTATCAGGAGAAGATTCTTATGACAGTAAAAAGTCCTAAAAATCCTACGGGAATGGGAGAATACGTAGTTACGTACGAAGTCGCGGGCAGAAGCTAGTATTGATATCTTATACTATCATATAAAGCGAAAGAGTTAGTTTTTTTGTATGTTTGTTTGAACGCGCTTATCTCCGTAACTACAAGTCTGATTTGAATATTTCTTTTTGTGTTGGATAGCGCATTAATCGAGGATGGCTATAGGGTATAAAACATCACGCTACGACCAATAGGAGCTGAGCAGAGCGTGTGAAACCGCGCGGAAGTAGCTAGTAAATATATAAAATTATAATCTGTTCTTTAGGTCGAAAAACATGGTTATGTCGTCAGATTTTCTTACGTATTCAATGGAAGTGCTAATGTTTGTGGTGTGGTGTTTGCAAAATAAACCTTCTATAATGTATGTTTAACTTACAATTTACACTGTGCACCGTGAAATCTATTTTTAATTTGTTTTCGTCTCGCCGCAAAACAACTTGCCATCCATAGGGCGTACTTGCGATGTATAAAATAAAAACAAAAATAATGAGGTTTTTTTAGTTTAAAATATAATAATGAAATATACACATGAAACACGAGACGTAAAGTAGGCACTATTCGCATCGCACGTGCCAAGACGAATCTTCGAAAATTGCATGGCGTAATGTTTTGAACAACGTTGAATAATAATAAGAATAAGATAATATCTAGAAATACCTATCTATCTTTCTTTCTATCTAAGAAAATGCATAAAGTTCAAATGAATTCCTACGACAACGAAAGTCCTTTATAATTCCAAGAAAATTCATAAAATTTTAAAAATATATCTGTCCTCCTTTTCCGATTCCGCCTTAAGAGGTACAAGAGATCCTTATCACCGGTCAAGCTAAGGACTATTGAAATTTTGATTTCGAAATCCTCTGTTGAACATGGATTTTGAATACATATGTTCCATTTACAGGGATAGGTATTTTTTTTAAGGGGAGAAAATCATCGAATGACTGCTCCTGGCGGAAGGGAGTGTCAAACTCTTACTGACTAAAAACCACCCCGTTCCTTCTCCTGCACATCGAGCCGGAGCCCCGGTAACCCGTTAGGTTCTCCGCGACAGGGATATGTATAGCTCTAATATTTCACAATAGACTCACCTCCTATTACATGGTACTCATAACATTAATAGTGGAAAGTGGGTGTTACATTGTACAGTGGCATAATGTACACCTCTGCCTACCCCTTCGGGGATAAAAGGCGTGATGTTTAGCTCTAATATTTGTAACCAAGGACTTTTGAACTTGGAACTTTATTCGTTTATTTATGTCGGTTAAAAATAGAGGGGATTGGATGAGGTTGCATGTTCTAGTGGATCTGTGTTTAAACTGTCAAACACCGCGAAGACACCGGTGACCGCAACCTATTGTTCTTTAATTGTGTCTATAATGACGGTACTCAAAGGGTTAAAGTATTCGTTAGCGTTCAAAATTTGACAAGTTCTATCGGTACTAAGGTATTTCTTCTTTCATTTTACGGTTATTCAGACGCAAAAGAATAATGAGTCAGGCTCAAAAGTCAAAGTCAAAGCATTTATTTCAATTAAACTATGATTTGGTACTTTTGAAACGTCAACAAATACAAAATAAATAGGTAAAAGTCTGTCAGTCAGTCAATCAGTGAAGCTAGGTGAAACTAGGTAGTAGTAACTCTAGTTCAAATTATATTAGAAGGATGGAATTTTCCTTTCAAGAGGCAGTTTGTTATAATTACTATGTTTCAATTACTTATTCTAGTCTTATTACATTAAATAGTACAGCTGTTTATAGGTATTCGATTTAAAACTTTATTGTTTTAAAATAAGGTCGTAAACCTTTTGAAATGGTGAAATGCTGTCTTTGGACATGTTCTTAGAAGTGACATTGACATATATGTGCAAGCATTTGTGTCTATTAAAGTAAACAGTACCTTAGGAGGAAGGAAATAGATTTCATTTTATGTCACAATAGCGATGAAGTTTGAGGTTATTGCAATTCTATTCTGTCTATGAATCAATTTATAGCAACCTTGCTTTTTTGCGGCATTAACTTTATAGAATTCCATTTTTTTCTTATTGATAATAATATAACATAACATTACGCCTTTTATCCCCGAGGGTAGGCAGAGGTGGACATTGACGGCACTTAATGCCACTGTACAATGTAACACCTACTTTTTACTATTTATACTATGAGTCCCATATAATAGAGGGGGTGAGCCTATTGTCATATACTGGACACATTATCAGACACCGTGCTATTACTGAGAATTCTTTTAAAAGTCCAGTACTACATTGTCCGACCTGGAAATCAAACCCGAGACTCCTTGACCGCGCAGTCGCACTTGCGACCACTCGGCCGAGTCAGTCTAATTAATAGATAATAATAATTATGACATTTTTCTTTCAGTTCTAATAAAAAATATTAATCCAATAAAAATGTAAACAAAAGTGATCGTCAAAAAATAACATACAAAAAATTAAGATTCTGATATTATATTTAAATAGTTCAATAAAAAATAAACATGTTATAAATTGTCTAAAAATAGATGTATAAATTATTTATAGATTATATGTTTAAGAACCGGTCATAATGGCGTTTTTCTTGTTGTTCTGAGTTAGAAAACCTGATTGGGTTTTTATTCCTATTAAGTTATGTTATTTTTCTATTAATCTAGATTATATTTGCAAATATATTATTATAAAGAACTTGATTTGAATAGTGCATTTGGTAATAGAAATTTGACGATTGCTAACGATGCTTCATTTTGTTTTTAGAATTTTATTCATTACTAGCTACTTTCGCGCAGTTTCACACGCTCTGCTCAGCTCCTATTGATTGTAACGTAATGTTTTATAGCCTATAGCCATCAATAAGTGCACTATTCAACACAAAAAGAATTATTCAAATCGGACTTGTAGTTACGGAGATTAGCGCGTTCAAACAAAATAACAAACTCTTCCGATTTATACAATAGTACTAGCTACTTCCGCGCAGTTTCACACGCTCTGTTCAGCTCCTATTGGTCGTAGCGTGATGTTTTATAGCCTATAGCCACCCTCAATAAATGCGCTACCCAATTCAAAGAGAATTATTCAAATTAGACTTGTAGTTACGGAGATCAGCGCGTTCAAACAAACAAACAAAAAAACAAACTCTTCTGCTTTATATAATAGTATAAGATAAAATAAGATTTATATTACAATAATAATATTGTATTAACTAAAATCGCGGGTTACTCACGTGAATATACTGAGAAAAGTTCTACTAGTTTCGAACCACAGAGGGGTTCTTCCTCATGAGCAGCGTGCGCGGTCACGGCGATGTCGCGCAGCCTATAGGTTCGAAACTAGTAGAGCTTTTCTCAGTATATTCACGTGAGTGACCCGAGATTTTAGTTAATTTAGTATGTTTCACGATAGTTATTATTAAAAAAATAATATTGTAGTTTTGTAATGCTTTTTTCTATATAACAGTAATTAAAATGATTAAAACTATTATTATTGCTAACTTAATTTAAATTATATTGATTGTGATTGTTGGTCAAGGGGTTTCGAGTCCCAGGTCAGGCTAAGTACTACCTACTGGGATTTAAAAAAAATCTTAAACCTACTGCACGGAGCCTGGAATTGTGCCCGGTATATGGCAATAGGCTCACCCCCTATTACATGGGACTCATATCATAAATAACGAAAAGTATATGGTAAGGTGTATTATTGTACAGTGGCATTAAGTGCCGTAACGTGCACCTTTGCCTAACCTCGTCGGGGATAAAAATGCGTGATGTTATGATGATGATTATAAACAAGATTATTAAATAATACGATTCATAATCGTGCCTATTTTCTGACTTACTGGTCAATAAAGACTTAAAACTCATTGTTTACAAACACGCCATGACTAGTCTGCTAAATAAAAAAATAATAATAACAAGATTACTGAAAAGTACACACATTGGGAAATACCAACAACCTCTGAGTCATAAATTATGAATGGTTCTATTGAACTTCGTACCTTAATTACTAATAGACTAGGTATAAATCACTTTGCACACGTATGAATGCCAGGAAATGTCAAATTATAGATACATTTTTAATTATTACGCGTAAAGATGCTTCCTCACCGGGAGCATTCACGTGTAATGTAACATATAGATTCGACTTTGAGAATTTCATAGCAAGATGTCAGACATTGATGTTACAAGTTGTATTAAGATATAACACATTGTATCATTACAAGGTGCGCATTGTAATGCTCGGTTCTGTAACGTTACATTACACGCGAATGCTCTCAGTTAATAGATAGTCCCCTTAATAGATTTCCTTAATAGATAGATAAACTTAAGAAGTCTTACTTCACAATACCTCATGCATTTTTATTCCCAAAGAAATAGGTAGAAATGTAGAACACCATAACGAGACGATGATTAAAAAGGTTAAGAGATTTTTATTAGAACTGGGTCGGTTATAGTAAATTGGTTCTGTTTTAGCAAAACAATAGTTTTACAAACATATAAAGATTCAATGATAATCAGTCACAAAGAAAATATCTAGTTAAGAACTCATTGAAAATATTACCACTTGTAGCTACTAATACTTAAACAATAGAGGACTAGTGCTTTGTTAGCGTGGGGTAACAGACCAAAGTTCAGGTAGTTCGCAGAAAAGTACCTAAACGACCAAACGCTCGATTGTGAAGTTTGGCAACGCCTAGAAATGTTTAGGAAAAAATAACTGGTGAACCAATGCGAAAAGCAAACTTCGAAAGCGCATACGAATTCACAGTACATTATCAAAATATCCCGCCATGTAATTCTCGTCTATAAATTTACGTCTTTTTTTAAGGGGGGAAAATCATCGAATGACTTCTCCCGCCTGGGTGAGGCGGGAGGGAGTGTCACTGTCTGTCTCTTACTGACTAAAAATCACCCCGTTCCTACTCCTGCATTTCGAGCCGGAGCCCCGGTAACCCGTTAGGTTCTCCGCGATTTCACGGTGTATATTAGGTTACGTTAATAGTTGACCTCAAAAGAAACAGAATCATTACTTGGTGAATGATATCATTTATTATAAGCTAGTGGTCAAAAAGTATTTGGCATGTCTGTAAAATCTTAGTTCTTTCTAGATATTTCTGATTAAGATAAATATAATTGGATAAAATGTATATTAATATTATGCAAGTCCATACCAATATTATTTAATTTTGTCACGGAGAACCTAACGGGTTACCGGGGCTCTGGCTCGACGTGCAGGAGAAGGAACGGGGTGGTTTTTAGTCAGTAAGAGTCTAACACTCCTTCCTTTTTCTTTGTTTTTTTGTCATAATTATCTATTAAAACATAATACGACCAGTTTTCAATTACTATTCATCATTATTTCGCATTCTACCTCAAATACGGACGTAGCCATAAAAATGATAAAATTATCTTTATTATTGATACTGAATTGAAAATTTAAATAAATGTTATATAAATATTTATACATCGTACGTTTATTTTTGGTAGTATATAAACAACTTCATGCGTTTTCCTGTTATGGGTAGACAGAGGAATTTTTAGAACAACATTTTTGTTCGATTATGCTATCAATAAATTTATTTATTATGAATCATTGATGACAATTATTACTTTTGTGTATGCAACTACAGGTTTTATTCTCAGAATAATCGAAATATAAGTAGTATTAGGGTTTAAACTTTGAAAATGTTAGTTATCACATAGATTTTTTATGGGATAAGCCGATAAACAAGCACACGGATCATCTGATGGTAAACTATCGGCGTCACCCATGGACGCCTGGAACACCAGAGTCGTTACAAGTGCGTTATCGAAGCAAGTATAACAGCTCACACATAGGACCCACTTAGTTTTTAGTCAAATTTCCGTGGAGCTTGGCGACTGGTCTTCACCCAGTTGTACAGTCTCTTCTTTGTGCCTTTATGCTTAATTCATTCTGTCTCCGGCAGTAATTCAACGAGGGAAGTGGAAATCTGTCGTTTTTTCTTCTTTTCCTCTTATAATATCTTCTGATTCACTTCGTTGCGGGAACAAAGATAGTTACTCATGTCCCTAGGACGCGCCGGACATCAGTGTTCTAGTGTTTTCATGGTTGTATCTACTGTAGATCCTGGCTTACTGGTGTTGCAGCGGTTTTGGAAAGCTGTGGCGGGCTTGTCTCATTAAAAAAATGCGTTATCGACCTTTGGGGATTAGGAATTTGAGGATTGTTGGGAACTCAAGGATTGGGGAGATTGGGGGAGGCGGGGGCGTAATTGGACCTCTGTAGATTCTGAAATAATTGTGTGTGACTGTAGGATCCACTACTAAGGCACTGTACTAAGGTTAATCACGTAAATTATAATTGACAAAAAGTGCATTAACATCCTACTTCTATTTATTTCTTAAAAATATTAAATTACATATAAAAAACATTCAATGATACAAAATTGACGTCACGGAAAGTAACTCTACAATGGTTCTTATTTCAATGGCGTGCAATTACTAATTATGATTGGTTGTAATTTTTCCGGTTGTCTCAATCATGTTGTAAGCTATAGCGTGACTTATCTTTAACAGCTAAGTTACGGGAAAACCGTCTGGGGTTTTTATTTATACCTATAATTGCAAACCTTACTTAGTTGCTTGTTTGTGGTACATAAAGAGTAGAGTGCCTTCCGTTATCGTACATTAATAGATTTATGTTAATTTTCGTAACCACAAACTATAAACTTATTCAAATTAATATAGACCTTTGTTATGATTTGTATTTTTTGTTACTGCTCATAGAAAATGTAGGTATTTTGTTATAAGTCACCTACAATAAGTGAGAATAACAAGGTCACCGGTGTAAATCTTCGAGGAATTCCCTCAACTAGCTCTTGGTTCGATCATCAGATCGACTCCAGACCAATATCAAATTGTAATAGGTTTAAATATTAAATGCAATAACAAATGCACTAGTTGTTTCTATAATTTTTCAAAAGATACCCTCGGTTTCCCTGGGATCCGATTACTGGGATCGATACGAAGTCGCGGAGAACCTAACGGGCTACCGGAGCTCCGGTTTGTAGCGCAGGAGTAGGAACGGGGTGATTTTTAGTCATAAAGAGTCTGACACTCCCTCTCGCCTCACCCAGGCGGGAGCAGTCATTCGATGATTCCCCCCCCCCCCCCTTAAAAAAACCCCTTTCATATAAAAATAGAATTTTTAAATATTCAATCCTTAACAAAATAATTCTTCCGTTTTCAGATGACCGAATGATCATAGGTCACCTCATGACCCGAGGATTCAGCGTGGAACAATGCAAGGAGAAGATTGACAACTACTTCTCAGCCAGGTCTAAGATGCCTGACGTCTTGCTGGGGAGGAGTCCTTGGTCTCCAAACACGGAGAGGTTCCTGAAGGAGGGGTACTGGATCATCCCTCCGATGAAAACTAAAGAGAATCATCGGGTTATTTTGTTCAGGTGAGAGTTTATTTCTTTTTCCTTAAAAAAAACGTTGCCCCACTCTAGGATTATCTTCTGTGTCGTGGGTGCGTTTACAAACACACAAGTTCACATACACATAACACCCAGACCCGAAACAACAATTTGTTAATCACGCGAAGTGTTGTTCCGTGCGGGAATCGAACCCGCGACACGTTGCACGGCAGAAGGTTGCCCAGCCACCGCACCAACCGATTGTTTTGTTTACTTCTTCTACAACTTCATTGCGTTGTAATTGTTCATCAGGTTATCCGTCTGTCAGATTATGAAGTTAAACGCCCTGTCTTATAAAAAACTAGCTTTTACCCGCGGCTTCGCTCGCGTCACAAAAGGATAAAAAGTAGCCTATGTGACATATACCAATACATACAGCGCCATCTATACCAATACCTTTGTTTTCCCTCGGGAATATCAATTTTTCGGGATAAAAAGTATCCTATTATTTAATCCGGACTATTAACTTTACCTCTACGTCTGCAAAATTTCAAAGCAATCGATTTAGTAGTTACGGCGTGAAGTCGGAACAAACAAACAAACAAACTCACTTTATGATTTATAATATTAATAAGGAAGTAAGGATGTTACTGAAATGGGTACACTGCAACTCTAATAATGGTTTGTGTATGGTAACTGTTTAATTTTAATTGGTACGCTCTCTATGATGTATTATTTCAATAGTACAATTATTTTTTCTTTTTGTAGTATGACGTCCGATCCAAAACAGAATTTCCCTGTGTCCAGCCATATTGAATAAGTCAATTTTTAATAGCTACACTCATTGGATAAATAGGTTCATAAGTAGCAAGCAAAAAAGCCATAACTCCCATTGATTTACACGTGCCTATAAAAACCATTTCAATGCCTTTACGTTCCATTAAATTGCATGACTTGTCGTTACCAGATAGAACTGACTTGTCCATCTTTACACATTTTCCTGCTAAATTATAATAATACTAGCCATTATCCGCGACTTTTCTTTTCTATTACATTACATATTTCTTGTTAATTTAAACTTTTTTGACGCGACAACGTGTTGATTGGCGAGGCGTATTTGAGAGCTAGTATGAAACGGAACGTTTATTGTCTACTCAAGATGGCGACTGCGGTTTTTCTGTCAGTGTCATTAAAATGAATTAATAAAACGAAATAATCTCCGTAATCCGAATTTTGCGGATATATGTTGTCGACTCGAAATCGATATTTTTTATGTTTTGTTATTCAGGTAATGTTTCGATTGAGTCTACCGTATGACAAAATTATTAATATAGATTTCCGCAAGTGAACATCTTACATAAAAAAACTAGATTAAAATACTTCCTTAAATCAATTATATCTCGTATTACACACACTTCCGTACTACGCAAGTATTATGCAAAACTATTTTTCAACTAATTAAATCGATATGTAACTAGTTTTCGTGACGTCATCGTTTTGATAGAACTTTGCGTGCATATGGCGCCATCTAGTTTATGAGCGATGAAGTTTTAAGTGAACAAACAAGAAATATGTTGTTTATATTTTGTTGATCAAATCCTACTTCCTACTATCCTATCCTGTTAATATTATAAATGCGAGTTCTTGAGGATGTATGTGTGTGTGTGTGTGTGTGTGTGTGTGTTTGTTACTCTTTCACGTGATAACGGCTAAAGGGATCGAGATAAAATTTGGAACAAGGGTACATCATGGTCTGGAATAACATGTTGACCACTTTATATTCCACAGGAATACGGGCAAAGTCACTGGCATAAGCTAGCATGTCTAGAATATATTTATATTATGTTGGTTATTATTAAGGATTTGGTCTCGAGCACAATTGAATTAAATTTAAATAACATAACATAACATCACGCCTTATATCCCCGAAGGGGTAGGCAGAGGTGCACACAGGAGTAACACCTACTTTTCACTATTTATGTTATGAGTCCCATGTAATAGGGGGGGTGAGCCTATTGCCATATACCGGGCATACTTCCAGACTCCGTGTATACATTGAGATTTTGGGGTGCGGTGCCAGAAGACCTCCCCGTGGTGCACCCTGGGTGCGGGCGACAGTCTCCCTAGCGGGGGTGATAGGGTTGGATTCCTCCAATACTAAGTTCTGGTGCGCGGCGAGAGTATGCATGGCTGAGGAGTAGTGTCAGTCGCGAGCGCACCCCCAGCTAGGGGACCAGTGGAACCTTTAGTTGGGAAACAAATGAACACTTACCCAGGTACAGGGGGCACTGCCTGGGTGGACCGAATATTTCCCCCATACTCGTGGGAACTTTATGGAGTTGAATACTAAAATAAAAAAAACCACACAACCGGAGGAGGAGAGTGCGGGTAAGCTTGGCTCGCCTGCGGTAGCGGGAGAAGGGAGCCCAAGTGGCTCCGGGACTCGTGGTGAGGCGCTGGACTCGTCCAGTAGGCCCCACACACGGGAGTCTAGTCGAAGGGGGTCGGACTCAGAGTCCGACACAACATTGGCGGAGCGGCTGAGCGTGAGCTCGAAAGGCTCACGCCGCCGCGCGGCGGGGACGTTCAAGCGCCCCAGGCTGGAGGAGGACAGTTTGTCCCCGTCCTCCGGCGCTCAGGAGGCGCCTCCCCCCAAGGTCCCCACGGCAGCGCGGGGTAGGGGCGGCAAGGGCAGCGGTCGCCGGAAACCGGCACCAGCTGCCTGCGCGGAGTCAGCCGAGCAGCTGGCCGCGGAGGGCAGGGCTCTCTCAAGCGCTGCCCGTTCGGAGTTCTCTGCGGCCGAGATGTCCGGCGTGGAGATGTCGGAGGGCGAGCGCGGCTCTGAGAGCAAGAGCTGCTCCGGGGGCCTCCAACAGGCCATTACGGCGGAGCTCTACAAGCTGGCGATGGGGAAATCCCAGCCGGTTAGGCTCCGCCTCCTCAGGGCGGCGAAGGCCACAATAACGGAGGCGGCCTTGGAGCAGTGTGCGGTGCCCACTGCGGGAAAGGTGCACTCCGAGCTGGCCGAGATGCGGCGAGAGCTGGCGCGCTTGGCGGCCTCCAATGCGGCTCTGGAGGCCGAGCTGCGGACGGCCAGGGCCGAGCTCGCCGCTGCTCGCGGCAGTCGCCCCCAGCCCCCGGCGGAGGCCGACGTAGTCGGACTGCTGCGGGCGGAGTTGGCTGCCTTCCAGCGACGTTTCGACGTGCTGGAGGGCAGGCTCTTGCGCCCCCCACTCGCGGCGAGTCAGGTCGCCCCCGCGGTCCCGCGGTCGTACGCGGCCGCTGCGGCCAAGCCTTCGACCTCGGGTCAGGCTAGCCGCAGCTCCCAACCGCCGGCAAGGGCGCGACCGGCTGCCCCAGCGAGGGCCTCGGCGCCCCCGCCGGCGCAGACCCCAGCTGCGCCGACGGCGCCAGCGCCCGCAGGGCGCAAGGAGAGGAGACGCGCTCCAGCCCGGCAGGCTGGAGTTGCGGCAGCGGTGGTGGAACCCGCCCCGCGAGCGGAGGACGGCGGCGGGTGGCAAATCGCCGGCGAGGCGAGGAGAGTCGCCAAGGAGGGCCGGAAGCGCCGCAAGAAGGCGCAGCGGCAGCGCGGCGACGCAGCAGGCGCAGGGAGAAACGCGCTGCTGCCTTGCTCCTCGCCCCTAAGACCGCGGCTGTAGTGATTACGCTGCAGCCCGAGGCGGTCAATAAAGGCGTCACTTACGGCGACGTCCTCGCCAAATTGAAGGGGGCGGTATCTCCTGCGGAGTTCGGGGCGCCAGACGGGTTCGCGGTCAAGGTGACCGCTACCGGAGCCCGTCTTTTGGAGGTCCCCGGCGCGACCAGCGGCCCATCGGCCGACGCCTGGCCGAGAGGCTTAGGGCGTGCCTCGGTGCGGACGAGGCCCGCGTGTCCAGGCCCACCAAATGCCTGGATGTCAGGATCTTGGGCCTGGACGACTCCGTAACGGAGACGGAGGTGGTGGCCGCTGTGGCCAGGACGGGAGGGTGCTATAGTGGAACCTATGAAATGATGTCATGCTATTCCTAGATTCTAAGAGTATATTAAATAATGTAAGTATCAATTATAGGAGAGTAATAAATCATATTCGTTGCTAACTGGACGTGTTCTATTTCTCTCCCGAATCGAACCTTTATATGGCGACCCTGCCAGCGCAGTGGAATGTCCCATAAAAGGAGACGTTATTATAAACATTGAGTGCTCTGGACAGTTTTAAAGACTTATTACGATGGCTCTAATTTTATTCATTACCTTACGAAGTGACGGTTCGTGTACTGTGAACTTAATTTGTGACTTTTCCCGTGTTCCTCAATTAAAAATCAAGTTTCAAAATGGGCAAACAACAATCTAAGACCCAGGAAGTTATAATAGCACAGAACGGCGCAGAAAATTCGGCTGGGGCCGAACAGATGTTGCAGCATACACATGTAATAACTTATATGTTGGTCACTATTGCCGTTATACTGATTATTGGAGGCGTTATATGGCTATTGCGCTACTACAGGAAATGCCATGGAAAATGGATTGAGAGAGGTGTTCGTGACTTCAATCTGCGAAGGTCGATGAGCTTGTTCCGTCATCAGCAACGGGAGGCCAATTTTCCAACTTCTACAGGACCTTCACCGGTGTGAGTGTTGTGATTAAATTAAAAAGTGCGGTCACCCCAAGATAAAGTGCGATTAGTGTAAAACGGCATGGAAATGGATACGGTAATGATAAAAGTATAAGGTACAACATTTATATGTTAAATATTTACTCGCATTTTAAAGTTTATTAAATAAGGTAATATTAGTGTGTTATTTTAAATGATTTTGTCATATTTTTGTGTGTATGTAATTATGATGATTAATATAATAATAATTATACGTAACTTTATGTAATGATGTTATGGCTAGTGAAGTTAAAGAAATATTTGATAAATTGAAGTATATTAATGATTACCTTACAAAGTTAGGTCCAAGTAGAAGGTCAATTAATGTAAGACGAGCAAAACAAACTGAAGTAAATATTTTATATAAACAATTTTGTTCCTTACAAATAGCTAT